TTTATTACGCTTCCAATTTTTTTTTTTCAATTTATATGTATTCAATACATATGGTGATACTGGCTTTGTCTATCTTTTATAAATAAATAAATAAATTACAAGTGAAACAATATACTAATATTCTAATATAAATATCACAATGCAAATTCAGGTAATTTTAAATACATTTATGTTATGCACCATCCACAAACTCGTGCGGCTAACTTCGCTACTTCTTCCGCCTATTCCAAATTTAATTTTGGATAACTTCTTTGTTTTTTGTTTGATCTTCATGAAACTTTAAGGGAAATTTTCTGTGCGAGAACTCAAAATCGATTTCGAAACATCGACAAAAAACATTCCTCTTACTGCCTGTTAAATACATCTGCAAACAACTTTTTTTTTTACCGATTTTCGATGGGTACATTAATGTTTAAAAATATTATTGTACTATTTTTGCTTTCCCCATGCTTATAAGCTTAAATGGTTCAAGGTTAAAGGTTAGTTTTAAGAATTTTTAAAACAAATTAATGTATCGGTATAGAATATTCCACTACATCGAGGCAACGAGTCTTTCTTTGGCGATTTGTTATATATATGTTCATTATGGATTTCGGACAAGTCCGACAAGTAATATCTTGAAACTTCCCCTAAGGCATCTACGCGTGCCATTTCCAGGATATAATTAAAAAAGGGCGTCGATTACATCATGTTTATATGATGTTCCTCATATTTATTAAATACGCGTTTAGTGTCTGTGTTTATGTTGTTACCCATACATGTTCGTCAATATCAACTAGAAAGAGCATCTACGTCTTCGTAAATTATATAAAAATTATATAAATATCTAGCAGGCTGTATATATTTCGGAACTTTTTAAATAAAAGGAAAATCTTATCAAAATCACTACATCACATAGCTGTCATAGGAGTGAAAGGTCAAGAAATAGGCTGTTATGTGAACAACTTTTTTTTATCAAGATATTTATTTATTTCTTAAATTTCATACGCGGCATGTATATAAGTTTATTTCCACAATATTAATAAAACAAAACTCTTGCTGGAACACATGTCCTTTTTATTTAAAAGTAATGCTCGAACTAAAACATAAATCATATCGAACCCTATAAAAGACCAGCAATTGGCAACTGCTGCATTGTAACGTCAGCGTCAGCGGGTGGCCTAATCGCAAAATTCTATGGAAATTTTATTTTGGCTTCAGTCCCGAAATTATTGCAGACGCTTGGTTAGTAATATTGGCAATGTTGCAACGGAAGTCATTGTTTGAGCCAACAAACTCTGGGTTAACTTATATGAGCCAAATCTTATCAAGATCTCACTATTATATAACATACTAGCGTGTATAACCCGGTTTTGCCCGTAGCATCTATAAAATAAATGTTCTCAAAAAGCTGTGGAAATGATTTTGAAACTGATCGGACGGTAAACAAACAACTTTCATACAAACGTTTTCCGCCAATTTACCACTGTTGCGGATGGAATTTCCCAAATCGCTGAAACACGTATTCATTACGTTTTTATGTAGAACATTGAAAATAAGGTTAAAGCAAATCGGACAAGACTAAAAATTTCATTAAAAATATCTTTAATTTGCACTTTCCACCCAGAAAGCTTTGATTTTGCAAGAAATGTGAAACACGTCTCAAATGATATTTTACTTTAATTAAGCGCGAAACGTCGCCCACCAAATCGTTGACCCCCATTCCCACCAAGGAGGAAAGGATTCTACAAAAAGTGCGAAACACCCATCAGATGAATTTTGACAAATAATTTTTAAAATGTTTTTGTAGCCGATTATTTGATCGGTAAACAAAAAACTTTCATATGAGTTTGAGGCCGATCGGATGGTAAACAAAAAGTTTCATACAAAAGTTTTTCGCGATTTTTCCACACATGCGGGTGGAACTTCCCGAAACCCCGTCTTAGCGTGCACCTTCATCACATAAGGTATCTACAGTGAAAATTTCAGCTTCCTAGCTCTAGCTATAGAGATAAAAATAAGGGGCTGTGTGGCAAAACTTCTATTTCCCAAGATATTTTCACATCATTAATAAAACCTTATTCAAATTACTGGAAAACAGTATCTGCATTTAATCTTCGGCGTACCGAAAATAACTTTTTTCTTGTTGCAACTACTTCTGTTTGAAAAATATTGCTGCGAGAAGTACCTCTACCCAAGTTCTACTGGGTCTTTTTACAAATATACTTCGTCGTCCCTTAGCGCCACACAGCGAAGTGCTTTCTTTAAAAACATCTATGTTTATTTCCCGACTTCATGCCAAAGCTTCACTATATGTTCAAGGAACAGTATATGACGGAAAGATAACAAGACAGTTCACACAAATGTTGATGCTGATGAAAAATATATACTTTAAAAGGTCAGAGATGTCGCCTTCTGCATGCTATCAAAATCATTATACCTGGTTTACCCACATTCAATGGGTTTGGTGCATAGAAAGTTAACTTGAAATTAACCATTAATGCATTACTGGAGTATTTTCTGCAGCCTTCAACACATAGTTGAAAAAAGGTTTCAGCCCATTTTCTCAAGTATGTGAATATGAATGCTTATGCACATATTACATAGTTATTTTACATGCTTTTTATACATCGCTTTAGCAAATTCCCTTTACGTCAGAAAATTCTTTGAATAGCCTAAGTTAGCAGCTTACCTGCTCTTAGCTATAGGCTAAATAATTATGTATGTATGTATTGTGTAACTATTCGAGGATAGCATTGTTAATATGAGTGACCCTCGAGATATATAAATAAACTTGCTGAAGATTAGTTTAAATGGTTGGCGTCGCGCCTTTGTCCTCATTTCGTGTGCCCTGCAAGCGAAAAAGGGGCTTCAACTTGTTTGCGAGGAACGTCAGTTGCATGGAGGGTGTGTGTCTCTATGGGTGTAGCTTGTCTGTGCATGTACATATGTTTGTGAATGTGTAAGTCGTGAGTGCCAAACTGGGAGATACCATATAAACGAGTTTATTTCTCTGAAGAGCCAAGGCCTCTGTAAAAGATATAAGTAATAATACTTTGTCTGGTGTGCCCAACCAAGAGATACCCTGTGTCCAGTGCCAAGCTGCCGTTCAGCCACCTTGAGTGGCAAGTAAACACACAAAAACACCTGTACACACGCCGCATGCTGCGCAAATTATTATGAAACATATATTTAAAATACTCCTAGAGGCAAGGGTAGATTAATTAGGTGTTGTCTGCTTCAGCCTGTTATATACAAATGTACAAATCTCTTATACTCTTTACTCTTATACTCTATATAAAATGATCAAGTAGGGTGTAACAAACTGCGTAATATACGCTCTCGTTATAATTGCTTAAGAGAGAAAACCAGCCAAATTCATTGATGAGTTTTTCCATTTTTCAAACGCTCAATCGACTTTTATGGAAGTTCATCAGCCGACTTAAAATAAAATTTGGCCATTCCAGCTCTAAAACTGTGAACATATAAATCAATTTTGTCATTGCCCCACTAGAGTCACATTCCCTTAATAGTTTCTCTGAAGCGGGAGTACATATATTCCAAGAGTAAATTCCCAACGTCAATAGTGCTCGAAAAAATGTAGGACAATGCATAAGCCAAATATACACTTTTTACTTTGTGAAAAAATAAAGTCCATTAAAAAGTAAGAATTTTATATCCGGGAGTACCCAACTAGGAAATACCCTCAATCTACCGATGCTTATAAACACACATACCTTAAACTACCTATTTCATTGGTAGAGAACTACAACAATCATGATCAAAGCATAAATTTAAGAAAAATGTTTTCTCCTTGCAGGGCTTAAAATCATGCCCCCAGTATTCGAAGAAATTATTCATGTTACTTCTAGCTTTTAACTCATAACTAAAATAAAAGCAAAAACACTCAGCACAGCCAGAATACATTAGAAATTATATTCATATTTATAGAATTCGAAAAGGAGCGCACATGTATGACCAAACCTTTCTTTAAACAATTTCGGAGGTACTTAACCGATATTGATCGATTTCCGCAATATGTCTTATTGTGCCATCGAATTTTCATATACTAAAAAAAAAGAGAAAGAAAGGCTATCTTCGACACGCCGAAGATCTAATACCCTTGCAGACCCAGCCTTTTCATAATGCTTATAGTGTTTTGCCCGTATCTAAGAAGCACAGGGAAAAGAGTTAATGCCGAGTTTGGTCAAGATATCTTGATAAACAAAATATTTTTTCATACACAAACTTAATTTTCGATCGATCGTTCCTATGGCAGCTATATGATATAGTGGTCCGATCCAGCTGGTTTTGACATATGTGCGGCGTGCAACAGAAAGAGGGACTTCTGCAAAGTTTCATTAAGATAGCTTCAAAACTGAGGGACTAGTTCGAATAAAAACAGACAGACGGACAGACGGACATGGCTATATCGACTCGGCTGTTGTACTTTATGGGGTCTTTTTGCCCCTACATACCTTCGCGCAAGGAATCGATAAAAAACGATATAAAAATAATATTTTTCAATATTTTTTTGTGTCTAGACAGATGTAAATGTGTTTTTGAGTAAACATGCATCAGAGAAGATTCGAATGGTTTATTCGGAGTATATTCTGCTCGAACTGCCAGTATGTCCCAACCGAATCACAACATTAAGCATTTTAGCTCTTATTAATATTATTTTTGGAAGAACAACTGTTGGATTTTGTATTTAAAGACATTCGGCAGCTTTATTTAAACCTCAAAAATATTTAACAATAACCATCTCAGTTATTCGCGAATGTGTTTTTTGTGTGTTAAGAGGTTCCAATGTATGTAACGGCAATTTGACGCTTTTTACAGGGTGTGTCTCTGACTTGCAGCCTTGTGAAAACAATATTCCAAAATTTCATATTAACGTTCAAACATAAAAAGAAAACTATTGGGTCAAGTTCAGCGGCTTAGGTATAACGACTGCACTTAAATATGAAATAAAAAAAACGTAATAATTTTTTTTGACTCGTATATACCTTTTCTTGCAGTTATCATAACATGGGCTGCGTCTTTGAATCAGCGAGAGAGCAGCCCAAGCAGAGTACAAGAAAACAAACACAAAATCAATGCTCTCGCATAACATCAACATTAGTAAGGAACATAGAAATCAAGGATAACTATAAACAAAGTCATAAAACTCAAACAGCAGCAGCAACAGCAACCGCCAAACATCTAAAAGCACCAGCTCAAGTGCTTTTAGCGGAGCAACAACAACAACAGTTTTGTCAAGTGGCGCATGATAACAAGGTCGCGTTGGCGACACGCGAAACAATTCTAACAATCAATATTCAGGCATCGAGGCAGCCAAGCACTTTGCAAATAAATTGCTCCAACTGCTACAGCCGCAGCACAAAGATTACAAAAAATGAGCAGCGACGCTACCGACGTATTCATTGGTGCCAGCATCATGCGGCCAGAGGATGTGGCAGCTGCACTGGCAGGAGTAACGACATTGGTGCAGGAGCGACTTTGGCTGGCATTTCCAGCCAAGCGCAAACTGACCTAGCGAACCTCCTGGACGAGAAAGGCAAGGATCGGCAGGAACAGCATGAGAGGGATGGGCGTAGAGATGTAGAACAGCCATTAGCTTATCTTACGTGGCGTCTAGGCAATGTCGCCAGCGCTGTCGTACCCATCACCATGTCAGCCGCAATTCTATCTACTCTGAGCACCACCTTAGCAGCCGGATATCAGTATCTGGCGCAGCATTATAAGCAATATAGCCAATCGTTCAGTTTCCATGCGGCATCCAGTGTTGTATTGATGCTCTGCTATCTGACGACCACATCCATGGCCGCTGCAACACAGTCAGAGACGGTTGCCATGGACAAGCATCCTATGTAAGTTCTTTTCCTATGAGCTCAGGAGAACTTTCTATACATTTTTCTCCCATTCACAATTTACACTGTAATTTTTATTTTTACAAGTCCGAAATCTAAATTGAATTATGTATATAGTAAATATTATATGTAACATCATGTAACCACTTTACTCGAAAATTTTCTATTTACACTCTTTTAATATTCTTTCATTCACAGCATCGATTGGTCAAAGTAAGTTTTGCACCCACACCAAAACATACTTAACAAAATACGAAAAACGCAATATATGAAAACAATATTTCATATTCTTACTTTGTATTTTAATATTTGATTAACTCTTTAATTTTTATACCCTGTACCCATTGACAATTTGTAATAAAAATGTATTTTGGAGTTCTGCAAATGTATGAAAAAGGTAGGAGACATCTCTCACCAAATAAAGTATATTTATTATCAGGAAGGTTCCACGGGTGAGTTTGCTTGGCTGTCTTTATGTAAAAGCGCGTTGATCTCAGAAACAGTCAGATTCAAATCGAAATACATGTAGACAGTTAAATAGCACGTACTCTATCCCCCGATATAGACAATAAACAATCGCCTACATATGCTGCATATTTTATAAATATTTATTTATTTCGATTACAACTCATAAATAAGCAAATACAATATGTGTCTACGACTTTCATTAAATTCTTTCAATATCTGAATAACATATAGAGAGTAGTCTAAGTTCTAGCAACAATCACAGCTCTAACCTTGTAACAAAAGTTATTTTTATCTTAGTAATTCTGAATTGATAATTAATTGCGAAATGTGTCGATGAGCTGTCAATGTTGTCGTAGTATTGTATTGAGTATTGATTAGGTTGATGGTGACTGTACTTTAGTATAAAAACCGCCTAAAGGTGCTCTGTGGAAACGGCCGCATACTGTCGTTAATTTTAGGGAAAACTTCATACTGTCCTCTCTATGGTGGCTCCAAAGGCTGTATTTTTGAATTAGTCCGTGACATGACATAAAAGCGAGCAGTCATTCATTTGCCTGAGGATGAATATGTTCTTGCTGGTGCTCAAGTGATGTGCCGTCTCTATACATTTTGATAAAACTCGTAAAACTCGTTTGATCAACGGATATGCGTCCCGTAAACCATTTCAGCCGTTAAAGCAACCAGATTTCCTTATATCATTTTTGCAGAGCCAGCAGTCAATCTAAGGTGGCGGTGTTGTACACATTAGAGCAGCTTTAAACGAACGATGTCATCTAATAAGAATTCATTTGATGCAACGGGTATTCCCCGGCCTTGCCAATGCCAAGTTCTGTGCCTAACATTTTAGATATAACATTTTCACCGAGTTCCCGCTCATTGCATTTGTTCCGTAAAATCTTAAAAGTCCATCGAATAATTAACTAAAAGTTTTAGTCTTGTTGAAAATATTGAAGCCGAAAAAAAACTTTTGTTCATTTAAGCTTCCACCCGAATATTCCACGCATCCAAGAGTGTTCGATTTCAAAAAAAGCATATTAAATTAATTATTACATAGATCTCTGAAAATGATTTTGAAGCCGAATGGATCCTAAACAGAAAACCTTCATGCAACCGAAATCGAAAGAAATTTCGAGTAAAGAAAGTAAAAGTAAGTTCAACGCCGACGGGACGATTCTTAAAACTTTTATATTTGGAGATTAATTTTAATGCAAAACACAATTTGACCACCATTTCTACCAGGAATTAATGGATTCTCTAAGAAGTGTCAGACACCTGTCAAATGAAGTTGCACAAATTTTTGAAAATTGGTTTCGCCTTTTTTCCGCACTTGCGGGTGAAATTTCGCTAAGCCACGCCTTAGCTTGCAATTTCATCACGTAAGGTAACTACAGTCAGAATTTCAGCTTCAGTTAGTCAGTCATTTAGAACTAACTGTTTCGTACTATAGAAGGATTTTTTTATGGCTATTGTTTTTTCATAAAAAAAAGTCCCCAGCATATAGATATTTTTCGTAATGTTAGAATAATCGGCCGATTGAACTAAGAAGAGTACAGTTTGCAGTTTGATTGGAGTCATAATCAATGAAGTATGATTGTCGTCCTTTGGAGTTGGTACAAAGATATCCATTATTGTGTCATTGGAGTGGATTGACGTCCTCGTTTCGATTAATTATTTCTCCTTAAGATCGAATAACAAGTTATTGTTGGAGGGCAGATCAGCTCCAATTATTCATGATTCTACATCAGCCATGATTAAATACCTAAATCATAAATGCGATTTGTCAATTGACTTGTTTTTGAATTGCGTTCGAATATGTGTAGACGAGGCTCAACTGGACTACTTTCTTTGTCGTGCAACTTGCTGTTGTCATACAGCTGTCGCAGTTGAAGAGTATTGCTGTGCGAAACAATTGGAACTATTGCAACCAGCTTAGCTGGTGTTGCTCAACTCCATTGTCCGCCAATTTTTTGTTTTAATTTGAGAAGAGTTTGAGGTTGCGTTGGACTGAGTGAGCATTTTGTTTGAGTTCAAGGCAGACAAGACAACATTTTGTTTATTCATTTCTGATGACTTTGGCAGCTGCTGCTGTGGGGACATATCACATTAGTATTTGTTCCCTCCAATATTTTGTTTGGAAACATTTGCAGATCGTCTCCTGACTGATAACATTGTCTTTCAAGTCGTCTGCAATTAAATCAAATTTATCGGCTTCAGCCTATACATTGCTGAGTCTGAACAGTCTTTTATGTTGTGATACCGATATTTCCGCGTTTACTTGCTTTAGGATAGAGTGTTGTTGTGAAATGGAGGCACTAATTTGCTGAATGTTTTGTTCACTATGACACTCAATGGAATATTGAACTCACATGTCATAATGTTATCCCGTGATTCGTAAAATAGAAATTCGTCGATGATTTAGTTTGACTTCGGCTATGCAGAACGTAAATTGTGCGTCGACAATTTAATTCTTCACAAATTAAAGAAAGCTTAAAAAGGGGGACTAGGCGTTTGCAATGCTAGAGTCTATAGCAAAATCTGCTGATGATAGAACAGGTTCTGAAAAGAGCTATACAGACAACTTTCTCATTCATGGTTTTTCATACCTTGTTGGTTAATGTTATAAGAATCCAACATTCAGCTCGATTTTATATGAGTTACTCAACTATGTGCAAATATTGATATAAATATAATTTATTATGTACACACACTTTATATTTGCGGAAATACCAAATGTTGAACCAAACACAAGAGGACTTAATTTGAATAATGCAATATCGCCGAGGTGACCAGTAAATGGTGCCATTCATTATACAAATTAAATTAAAATTATATCATTATTAGTGTTGTAAAACTTCTGTCTAATATCTAACACCTAACAACTGCCGCGATTTTTGTATTCATACGGTTAAGCAAGCGAACAATTTGTTGTTGCAATTAGATATTTTTTTATACATTTTACCAGGAGAACGATTGACCAAAACGCTATGTATTGTATGAAAGATTATTAATTGTCAATATGTGTTGAAGCATTTTTATTTTCGGAGGCGGTATTTCACGTACCTTGAATATTTTTGGGTGAATCATTGAAGTCGAGATTGAAAAATCACTTGATAGTGTTGTGCGTGCTTAGGAACAGAGAGTCATATAGACTCTACTAAGAGTAAGAGGAAGACTAACTCGGATTATCTGCGTTGACCACAATAAAAAAATCTTTATGCAGTCGGATATGGCTTGTGCTATCTTTTTAAACATACATTTGCCCTACTCTATGCTACAATTTTTAAATGGGTACATCGGTTAAAATGCAAGATGCATGAACTCATCTTAACACCAACTATGCAAATATACATCTTAAAGTTAGTGTTATTTCCAGTTCAAATTTTGTTGTTAAATCTAAGTTTTATTTCGATACTAACAAACCCTTATTCCTGACTTCCTAGTTATTATTAACAAAATTGTTATAGATATAAAAATATGACCTTTTGAAATCGTTTTTTTATGTGTTGCGATATGCTTATAACAGTATTAAATAAATTTAAACAAACTTGTAGTTATATATATAATGTTATCTTTACACACAGATTCGACGAGTCCAGTTCGGATAAGGAAATTTTAGATTTATTACTTGAGAAGAAACGCTACGATAAACGATTACTGCCGCCGGTAAATGGTAAGCAACTTTCAAAATTGACAATAAATAACCACAACCTAAACTCTTCCCTTAACTGAAGCTACAATAATGAAGACTTAAGGCATTGAGTAAACATTATTTCTGTACCAACTTATTAAGTTGTTGGTAACATTTTCGGGCTATTAAAAAGCGGTAATGTTTTCTAATAGACACGTTGACAAAGATATGGCTCGGCCACTATATAAATAATTTAATTTAATTGCCGGTTTATTGAGAACGCAGACAGAAGAAGATAATATAGTAGACAAGACTTGATTTATATGCATTTAAAAAAATGCTTGCATATACCATATAAATATACCTTTAAGGCAACGATATTGAAATGAAAGAAGGAATCTCTTTCATATAAAATTGCTAAAGCAGACGCAGAATTCGCACTCAAAAAAGATAGCAAAATCTTTAAGTAAAATCTGTCTAGGCTTAGTTTTTTTTACCATTATGTTCAAAAGATTAACATTCAGAAAACAAGATTGACAATTTTTGGATATTGATGTTTTTTTTTACTTCTCTGTCATTATTTTATTAGACCTAAGAACGAGTGGACAAAATGATTTTGATTTTTGGGTTGGTGACTTTATGGCTGTAAATCCGAGGCAGTGTCCCTTGAACTGTGACTTCGATAAATATATGCAAAATTGCTAGGAATCCCCAAAAGAAAAAATTATGTGCAATTGACACTTTATAGCGTCACAATTTCAAGGTCACTGATTCCTGGCTCCAGTTTTAGAGTTAAGAACTTATTAATTAAGAAATTCGTTTTTAACTAATTTAAGCATGCCTAATTTGGAGTAAATAACTCCAAAATAAATAGAATAGAACAATTTGAAGCTTGAATATGTTAAGCTATTCAGAAAATCTTTTTTGCACAGTAAATGAGTAATTATGTCTTGGCCTGCTTGTAAAAAAAATTTCTATTAAATCTTACAGATGAAGACTTTTGTTGTGGCTTACAATCGCCCGACATGGCCACAAATCAAAATGCGCGGAGACCACATAATCGCGGTTGGTGAAATGTCCTAAACAATTCACGAGAACTAGCAAATATTTTAGAGAAGCGTCTTATAGATTGTTTTGGTTAATTTAGCACCGTATTGGTTTTCTTATTTCTTCTTAATTTTAATTTGTAGTATTTATTACAAATATATTGATCTATGAGTTATGTATATATGTTGCCTCTGGTGCTAGCACTTTTATTAATACATATAATTTGTATTCAAAAGTTTTTTGCTAAGCATTAATAAAATTTCTAACTAACTTTGACTACTTTTATAGGCACCCTGACGGTTAATGTTAATGTATTGCTTTTAAGCTTAGCATCGCCCGACGAGAGCAGTTTGGTAAGAAATAGTGTTACGTATATATATTTTCTAAATACTTAAGTCGTATTTTATTGCAGAAATATGAAGTGGAATTTCTGTTGAATCAGCAGTGGAACGATCCACGCTTGCAATATGGCAATAAGTCCCACTACGATTTCTTAAATGCTTTGCATCATCATGATAGTATCTGGACGCCCGACACATATTTCATTATGCATGGCGATTTCAAGGATCCCATCATACCAATGCATTTCGCTTTAAGAATATTTCGAAACGGGACCATTACGTACGCAATGAGGTGTGTTACACTAATTTGAATATAAATGAGAATTATTTGCACTGTACTATAGACTTTAACCCGGCGTTTCCCGGCCCATTCATACCCTAATCCCATTGAATATGTTTAAAAAAGGTATAGTGGTTTATTCGAAATGAATGTAACAGGCAGAAAGAAGTGATCATATTCCTTGTCAAAATAAAAAGCCAAGTCGATTTAGTCGCTCCGTTTGTATTTACGCGTCGATCTGTAATACTAAACAAGTAAGAGGTTCTAGTCGGGGGCTTCCGACTAGGGGATACCCTAAAACCTCTTCTTCCAACATCAAACGCATATATATATTCTATTTTAGAAGCTTTATGTCAAGTTTGGTGACTCTAGCTCTTATTATTTACCAAAATTGCCCAAATAACAGGATATCGATATCGATTTTTATCGATTGCTTGGAAACGGAGTAAGCTATCGATTATCGGAAACAAAAAATTTCAATTCTCTAGCTCTTATAGGTTCTGAGATCCTTGCGTTCTTACATACGGACGGACGGATGGACGGACAGACAGTCATGGCTAGATCGACTCGGATATTGGTGCTGATCAACAATATATATACTTTATGGGGTCGGAGATGCTTCCTGTTACATACATTTGGATTTTGCACAAATACAATATACCCTTATACCCATTTTAAATGGGTTCAGGTTATAAAAATATAGTTTCCCCGGTAGGGCTCAAACTCGCGACAGACCGCACCACTTACTATGCCTCTAATCAGCAGCCACAGCAATAACTAACTATTATTGAGAAAAAAACGAATTTATATAGAAGTACAGAAAACAATCGCAATTGCAATTGTTTGATAGAATTCGAAGCATACGCGCATGAATGTGTGTACATGTATAAAGAAATTCTTGGATTTTGCACTCCAATTGCGCAGTAAAACATAACTTTTGTTTTTTTTTAACCGATCTTAATGTAATTCTCCGCAGTATATCTTATTCTACCATAGAATATTTGTGTATTCTCAAAAAGTCAATTGCATTAAATTTGTGGCTTAAATTGGTGGGCAAATTATAGCTCTGCGGTGGTAGCGGGGAGGTGGCGATAGGTATAAAATGAAAGATACTTGATATATATATATAATATTCTAGAAGTAACATATCAAGTTTGGTGACTCTAGCTCTAAATATTTACCCAATTTGCTCAAATAACAGGATGTCAATATCGAATTTATCGATTGCTTGGAAACGGAGTAAGTTATCGTTTTGCATATTCTTATAATTATGCTTGAAGTATTATTTCTTCACAAATGAATCACCGGCGAAATCGAGTCCTTTGGGTTGATAACTTACACGTAGCTATAAATGTTTATCTCTTGTGCAACTATCAATCATTTAATGTCTTAGAAAATTTGACCCGTTTCCAAGAAATTGATACAAAATCTATATTGATACCCTATTTGTCAGCAGATCTCTTATGATCTCTCTGTAACCATCGTAACCAAAAATCAACTATATATATTTTTGGATACTTTTTGGATACTTGATGAGGACATCGTGTAAAATCAAATAAATAAAATTTGAAAGAACAATTTGAAGGCTATTTTTTATTTGCGAGTATAATAATATTCTATAGCCCAATAGATGTCCTGCATTTAATTTCATCAAGATCGGCTAGCGTAAAGCGAAAATATTTTCTAAGTACATGAGCACATAAGTGTGTTTTCATTTTCATAATAAATATAATTGCAATTGGGATTGTACTGTATGGAAATGTAAATGTGGTGTTAAGGTATGTCGTCGTGGCAATTAATTCGATCGGTTAGTGGGAGCACGAGTTCAATCCCAGCGAGTGGATAAATTTTGTTTTTAACTTCTTGTTTTTAATAAAGCTAGTTTTATTTTGAGTAAGGTTTGAACAAGCAAGATGTTGTGCCTAAGTTATCTTGGCTGCGTCATTTAAGCCAGTTCACATGCAACTTTTTAGATGGCTATATATCCGAAAAATTCGCGAAAATGGGCTATCGTCAGGTTTATTATTGAAATTCTAGGTTAAGATTTAAGCACAGGCTAATTTATAGATTATCACATATTATTTTCGAATTTTGTTTGCTTTTGCAAATATCAGTCTTTTATACTTGTAATAAAAGGCTAGTTTTTCCGGGAGTACTAAAGGAAGAAACCTAATGACAATGTTAGAGGTTGCTGTCCCTCGAGAAGACTTTACCCCCAGACGGGTCTTATCCACTTTATGACTTATTTTATATAGTCTTTGAATTCCTCCTGCAATACTTGCATAATGCATAATGTCGATATTAGGTGACTTTAAAAAACAATGTGCCGCAGAGATTTTTTAAAAATATTTTTTAATTTTTCGCCTGCGTCGCTTTATTTGTCTACAAAATGGTCACCTTCATCAATATTCAAAATTATTCTCCTCGGTTCGGGTCGTCAGGGCGACCGATTGTCAAGAAAATATAAAAAAAAACTATACACATAGCGCACAGATACATTTTCTGAGTATAGTAGGTATGACGAAAGACAGGCTATGATATATTTTAGAGAAAAGTCCGAAATACACATGTAATCTTTTAATAGTCTATTCAATTCTGTCCTCAAGTATATTTGACTTAAGTCTACTATAAAAATTCTAACATTTTTTTTGCTTGTAAATATTACAGACGGCATTTGATATTGTCCTGTCAGGGAAGTCTACATATATTCCCATTCGATGATCCAAAATGCTCCTTCTCAATGGAAAGCAGTAAGTACGAGTATTGATTGATAGCTTTTTATTCGCTAATGACAAATTTCTACAACAACAATTCACAAAATATACTTACATGAATATAAACAAATATACCATCAGGAGAAATACGTATTGAAACCTAAAAAAAAAAGCTTTAAGAAAAAATGTTCATCAACTTGTGTAGAGAATGTTGCAAGCTATTCTCATAACTGGTGAATCGTTTGTGAATTCCCATAGTTATCCAAAGATTTTATAAAGGGAAGAAAAAGGTCGAGGATAGATCACTAGGTGCGTCATCTTTTGTATAGGTATAGATATATATATCCTTGATCAGCATCAATAGCCGAGTCGATCTAGCCATGTCCTGTCTGTCTGTTCGTCCGTTTGTTTGTTCGTTCGTATGCATAAATGCAATGATCTCAGAACCTATAAGAGCTAGAGACTTTAAAAGTGGTATGTAGTTCGTCCTAGTGCCGGCGCAGATCGAGTTTGTATCCAATATTCGATAACTTGTCCCGTTTCCAAGTAATCGATAAAAATCAATGTCGATCCTGTTTTTGAGCAAATTGGGTAAATAATAAAAGCTAGAGTCACCAGAACAACATGTGCCTTCTAGAATAGTTTAAATATATCAAGAATCTTTTATTTTATACCTATGATCACCTCCCCGCTACTAAATCATAGCTACAAATCATGTAAATAAACCAATTTATACTGCCCACCAATTTAAGCCACAATTTTAAACGCTTTTGACTATTTGGCACAGTAAAATCCACTGTTGAAAATTTCATCAAGATCAGTTAAGAAACACGTAAGTTATTAAAAAACACGTGTTTTGGCTGGTCACGAGTCTGGGGTAGCTAGCGCAAATTGCAGCCACATTCATGAGCGTCTTCATTGAATTCTATCAACAGCATTGTAATTGCAATTGTTTTGTTTTTTGTGCTGTAATTTTAATCCGTTATTTTTCTCTTCAACTGTTGCGAGTTCAAACCCTACTCTGCCGCTTGAATATGAAATATATATCTAGCTACCACATTAAGAGAGGAGATTACCCCGCCCCCGCAGTAAAATGTAGTAAAATCGATTTCAAATATACTTATCGGAAGTTTTATTCAAAAATTTCAAATTTGGACACTATAATTTAAAACTGTAGAAGGTTAAATTTTCCCGACTTGCCATGCTTGCAGTCGGCATAGGCATATATTCTTACCACATAATCTATGTATACATAATACAAACATATATATCAGGGGATATGTTCCTGATTGGCATCTGCAGTGGCGCAGCGAGTAGATTAGCCACTTCAAAGCGCTGTGCAAAATCTGCGAAGTGAAATGGCGTGAAACCCGCTTCCACGTGGTAAGCGAATTGGAAAAACGAATTCGCCGTATTCTCTTCCGATCAAAAGTTAAGGCCCCTATTGCTCGTAATCGGAGAGCTCGAATGTTTTGCCATTTAATGTTTCTAGGGAATTTCCATGTCGAGAATTTACTGCTGCCGTCTGCCCAGCTCTTTCCAGAATGCTGTCAGGATTTTCCCTTCGGGTCCTGGCCAGCAAACGTTCCAGCCGGTTGGACGTGCTGACCGTGTCCGCCTTGACAGACATGATGCCTTTTGCCTGACGGAGTTACCGGAGCTATATCTCTGGCTGCTACTGTGATTTCTCCTGGGAGGTAGTCCTAGCTGGTTGGACGTGCTGACCATGTCCGCCTTGACAGACATGATGCCTTTTGCGTGACGGAATTACTGTATCTCTGGCTGCTTCTGTGATTTCTCCTGAGAGGTAGTCGACATATTTCTCAAGGCAGGTTCGGTAGACGTTGAGGTAGATCCATTTAGGAATCTGCTCCTATTCAATCTATAACGTAACGTGATTCAAGCTCAGGTCCAGCAAGATTTTTATCATGTTGCTTTTCATGTGATTATTTAGCTCTGCTGCACACTCAGTTGTTTACGCAACGCCGTTGCCCCAAGCCAGCAATTTTGGACCAAGCTGGTTATGTGCACATCTGTTATTCTGAAGGCCGGTGGGCAGTATACTGACGCCAGGTAGAAGATACACATTAAAACTTCAAATTTCACTGAGATCTCCACATCGTAACACATTCAACGGTGCATTGTACTAGTTCCACCCAACCATTACACTACACATATGACAACATCGTAGTTGACTCTCTCGTTATTAACAAATTTATTGTTTTATAATTATCTATTTTCCATGTACATAATAACAAATTTAACAAGTAGGAGGTTCTAGTCGGAAGCTCCCGACTAGGGGATACCCTGAACCCTCTTCTTCCAACATCAAATGCATATATTCTATTTTAGAAGCTATATGTCAAGTTTGGTGACTCTAGCTCTTATTATTTACCAAAATTGCCCAAAAAACAGGATATCGACATCGATTTGTATCGATTGCTTGGAAACGGAGTAAGTTATCGATTATCGGAAACAAACTCGATTTGCACGGGAACTTGGAGCACCTACATCTAAGTCTGTATGTATGAACGCAATGATCTTAGAACCTATAAGAGCTAGAGACTTGACATTTTAGATGTAGATTCTCCTAATTCCCGCACAACTGACCAAGCGGCGCGTCCGTTAACGTACGACCCGAATACAAAATTAACGTACCTACGTACTAACTGAGACTATAGACTAAATCTATCTACCTGCCTAATAGGAATATAAGACTTTTTACGAAGAAGAGAAGACTCTGAGTAGAATACTCTTTAATACTTGTTCCAATCATCACAGAGGACCGGAACTGTTCAAGCAACGCATAGTTTGATGAACCAAAAACTGAACGTTAAAAATATAATAAGGTGTTAGTCAAGAAGGAACTGATAAGTTTATTTGGCTAGTCAACCCAAAAGAGTCAACTTCACCCGTAATCCTTGAGTAAATTTTGATTATATAGATGGAACTTAAATGTCAAATTCTACATCCATTAACACAAGTAATAATAATATTTCGATTTTAGCAGTAGTAGCTTTATTTATTATACACCAAAAAGTGAATATTTAGATGCGTAGATGTTGAAGGTTAGAGAGCACGAGCTAGAAGAAAAGTGTACATACTTTTCGTAATATGGTGAAATAACAAAAAAGTGTAACCAAACTTATCAAAGACAAAAAACTTTAAATGAAACAATTTCTGTGCTGTCAGATCGCCACAAAATATTACACAACATAGTCCAACTATTATTTAAAAAAGTATTTTTAACCATCAAAAGTCTACTGGACTATGACGAAAACCACCCACGAGGATTCCAGTTAAGCCACAAGAGGCCAACAACAGGAATTTTTCTATACAGATACAATACTGTCCTGGTGAATACAAAATTGTGGTGTCCATACACATAAAGAATAGGTCGTACCATAGATATACAAATGGTATTTGTCGTGTACGGATAATCAAACTCCTTTGATCATCGCTTGATGAAACCCAAAACAATTTTGCCCTTATTGACCACGGTCGTAACTTGAGAATCGAATATAAATGTATGATCTAGAATGACACCTTAATCATTGACTTCATTACTAGCACTATTAGCACGCTGCACAGTAATCTGTCAAGAGTGTAAAAAATCATTTGACATGACACCAAGACTGAAAGGCAACATTTTCGGATTGTAAAAGTTTACATCAGGCCAAATATTTTTATGCAAAGCACAACTTAGTAATCGAGAGTGAGACAGTATCGTGGCAAGGTCATTGGAGAGCACCAGAATTTTTTTATATTTTTCTAATGCTAAAGCATTTGCTGTTGATAGAAGAAGTTTCCGGGTATCTCCTCTTCGAGCACTCCCGAGTAGAGCTTTTAACTTGTTTTTGTATATTTTCATTGATGGATATCATTAATTTTTATTCGTTTTTAGTTTTCATGGTGGTTCGTTGGGTCACTAGTGTCTAGCATTCTTTTCACAAAGCCATTCTCAATATTTACTTTCAGTTACTAGTTAGTAATGGTTCCCGATGTCAATGATGAAAAAAAGTCTATTTTGGAAAGAAGCTTATCGTATAGTATACATAGATCACAATATTTATTTTTTGGGTATAATAATATGTAACAATAGTACGGTGTGTTTAAATTAAAATTCGCGCAAGTGAGGATTAAGATAAGAAATGAAAAATGTAATCAAAAACTTGTATGTATCCATAATTTCTCTTATTCTATCCTTATGTTTTCTGTTCATTCTGACCTACAGTTTCCTACGAGGAAGCACAAATCAAATATGTCTGGAAGAATGATGAAGACACATTACGCAAAAGCCCTTCGTTGACCACACTGAATGCATATTTGATTAAAAATCAAACAACGGCCTGTGATCAAAATAGTTGGAGAGGTAAGTTCAGCTAGTAGCATCCAATTATTTAAAGCCTTGATCTTGTGTGTTTGTATCTATATGATTTTATGTGTTTGTCTTTAGGCGCATCTTTTATTAATATCCAATGTTCTCGTATTTGTCTATATTTTACTTCTAAGTTAAAGTGGCTAGACCAAAATTTGCAGCAACAGTTTAAGTTTCTTAGATCCTTATCAATTTTGAGTGCCATTTTTTGTGCGATTACGATTATTTCGACTTGTAGTCTGAAGCTTATTTATTGCCTTCTTTATTTAAGAGATTATATATATACATATTACCAACAAGTACATTAATTGTTTTGCATATCTAATGGTCTAATCTTTGTCTACCCCTAACCAAAAACAAAAATATATAAATGTTACAACAAATACTTGGTCAACTCCTACTCTCTACAAAAACAAAAACAACATCAATCTTATTGCTAAACTCAAATCAATAGGGAACTACAGCTGCCTTAGGGTCGATTTAATCTTTACCAGAGATCGGGCGTTCTATTTTACCACCGTTTTTATACCTGGCATTATTTTGGTGACGTCGTCTTTTATAACATTCTGGCTAGAATGGAATGCCGTGCCCGCTAGATCAATGATAGGTAACGAAAACCAAATAAAACACCAGTAAAAAATAATACCAAACCAAACTAAGCAACCAACAATATATCTTTAATTATTAAAATTTACCCTTGCTAATTTCACTGAAGAGTACAAATTTAAACCATTTTTGTATACGCCATTAAGATTTGACTTTTTTCGCCTTTTTAGCGATTGACTTACAACAATTTGTACTGCCCTCTACATACGCAATTTATAATCCTTATTTCATTTTGATTTAGTTGAAAATTGCATTTACACATTCTGCGTAGTTTGCATTTGAAGACACATCCCTATATAAAAAATAATCAAACAAAAACCAACCTAATTTGCAGCCTTTCGTTTTAATGCGTTACCACTTCCCAAAAGAAAAGTATGCGACACTACCCCTTAAGAATGTATTGTTTTATGAAAGGTTTGGTGCATGGGTTCCGTTTTTAATATTTTACGCTTAACCTTCCTAACAACCAGTCCCAAGTCAAAACCAATACCGAAGAACAGAAACTCAATACTTTCCATTCTTATTTTTATTTAATCATTTTTTTATTATTATTATTTTTGTGGAAGTACCGCTCAGAAAAAGTAAACTTTTCTAATTTAAGAAAGGATAGGTAAGATATATTCTTCTGTGTGAATCTATGTGTACTATTACTGTCTGTGACTCTGTCTCTGTATTGTCTAAGAAATGTACTGCGTTAACAGCGGTTTACAGTTGTGTTTTATATAATTTTTAATTTGTGGCCCAAATTCAACGATTTTGGCATTGTACTTTAAGGTAATTACAGTTGCCTACAAGTCGAAATGACATTTACCCGTGATCGTGCGTATTATTTTACAACCGTTTTTATACCTGGCATTATATTGGTCACCTCGTCGTTTATCACATTTTGGCTAGAATGGAATGCAGTACCAGCCCGGGTTATGATCGGTACGTAAACCAAAAACCAAATTTTTACTGCAAAAAACCATAAATCCATTGGAAGTTAAACCAAAGTCTATGAGAGTTTCATATGCAATCAATTAAAAATCGTGAACTTTCAATTACTAATGTGACGACATTTTAGACGCTGTTTTGCTAGTGAAATACTAGCAGATAATAATCAACGTTGAACTTGTTCCGTACCCAACAGTATATAAAAACAGCTTGCAATTTATTCAGAGTATTGACTTATAGTATCATATTTTGGCGCTTGGCGCTTAGATTTTGATTATGTAACGATTTTGTTTTCTCTTCTACCATACTATATATCCAATCCCTGCACTGTTGAGTCTTTTTATTCATCAATACTATCCACAATCTTTTGCACTACCATAAATAAAAACTTGACTTTAAGCTTTGCACTGCATGCTAATATCTCTTTTAATATATTATTATAATCTATAAGTTTCCCTGAATATCAGCCAAGAAAGTCCAACAGAGTTCTTCATTAAATACACCCAAAACCAAAAACCTTTGTTAATTTTGAGGATATCATTTTCTAATGCGAAGACACATGACCGTGTTCCCATAGTTCTGTAGTCGTGGAAATGTACATGTTATCCGCAAGTTGAGTGATCTTGAGCGTCAAGTAAGAACGCTGGAGTCGAGTACAAAATCCCCTGTACCCCTTATATTTGGCTCATGCAAATGTCCTAGCAAATGTCAACATAATGTTTACTTTAGTATACTTTTGAAGAAATCAGAGTGCCGTATATTTACTTTTTTGGGGCTGCTTTGGACCAAACTTAGTTCTAGAATAACTAAGCTTCTTACTTGAATGCAAAGTCTTATCAAGATGGCACCACTATCTTGTAAGGCTGTATATAAATAATCGGTCGAAAACTTAGTTTCTGTATGGAAAAATATTCTGTTTCCCAATATTGCATCTTCACCAAACTCATCGTGCCACTGTGTTATTTTTTGCATATGCTAGCACATTTCATTTATATATTTAATTTTTATACCCTGAACCCATTAAAAATGGGTATAAGGGTATATTGTATTTGTGCGAAAGCCAAATGTATGTAACAGGCAGAAGGAAGCATCTCAGACCCCATAAAGTATATATACTCTTGATCAGCATCAATAGCCGAGTCGATCTAGCCATGTCCGTCTGTCTGTCCGTCCGTCCGTATGTATGAACGCAAGGATCTCAGAACCTATAAAAGCTAGAGACTTGAAATTTTAGATGTAGGTGCTCCTTCCCGCGCAGATCGAGTTTGTTTCCGATAATCGATAACTTACTCCATTTTCAAGCAATCGATAAAAATAGATATCGATATCCTGTTTTGTTGGGCAATTTTAGTAAATAATAAGAGCTATAACCACCAAACTTGACATTTAGCGTCTAAAATAGAAATTGTATATGCATTTGATGTTGGAAGAAGAGGGTTCAGGGTATCCCCTAGTCGGGAGCTCCCAACTAGAACCTCTTACTTGTTATATTTAGTTTATGGGCTATTTCTTTCCTATAGGAGTATAATCTAGATAGTTGATGACAACTTCGGATCTTAAATTACAGACTTTTATACAATATACATTTTATAACTTTACTGAACCAATTGAAAAAGGGTAAAAATTGTATAATGGTTTTGTGAAAATGATATAACAGGTAAAGCAGCAAGACGAAAATCGCAGAAAACCAATATACTTTTCACTTTGTGAACAGGATATAAGAAGAGCGGTAAATTGACACAGAAGTTAATTATAAGTGAATTTTCATACCATAAACTTAACAGGAAAAGTGTTGGTCAGCATTAGTGATGCGGTGAATTCAATCTAGCCATTTACGTCTGTCTGTCCGTCTGTTCGTATATATGAACCCTTCGATGTCAGAACCTTTAACAGCTAGAGACTTGACATTTTGAACGTAGAGTTCCTCCTAGTGCTGGAGCAGTAAGAGTTTGTTTCCGTTAATCGATAACTTGCCCCGATTCCAAGCAAACGATTAGAATCAATAACGAAATCCTATTTGTTGAGCAAATCTCTTAGGTTTTAATATCTAAACTGCACATGTAACTTAGTGTATTTGATTTGCGAGTTGGAGTCCAGTATAAGGAACCAACTTAAGAAAAAAAATTGTTTTTGTAATGCTAAAGCATTTGCTGTTGATAGGAAAAGTTCTGGGTATCCCCTCAAATATTTTCAATGCAATCTTGTTATCGTATCTTAAATTTAGACAATTTTCCTATTAAATGCAAACATAATGTTTACATTAATATACTCTTTAGACAAGTAGATTTTGCTCGTATCTAAGAAGTGCCGAGAAAATAGTAAGTGCCGAGTTTGGTCAAGATATCTTGATAACCAAAAAAGGTTTTTAATCAAAAACCTGGTTTTCGACCGATCGCTCTTATGGCAGTTATATGATATAGTGGTACGGTGTTGATAGGACTTTGTATTTATATAAGGAGCATGGTTAAACTAATAAATGCCGAGTTTGGTCAATACATCGTTAAAAACAAAAAATGTTTCCATACAATAACTTAATTTTCGACCGGTCGTTCCTATGGCAGCTATATGATATAGTGGTTCGATCTTAATATAATTTTGCCTATCTATGAGGAGTAAAGTAAAACTAATAAATGCCGAGTTTGGTCAAGATATCTTGAAAAACAAAATGTTTTTTCATACAAAAACTTAATTTTCGACCGATCGTTCCTATGGCAGCTATATGATATAGTGGTCCGATCTGAATAGGATTTTTTATATATATGAGGAGCATAGTAAAACTAATAAATGCCGAGTTTGGTCAAGATATGTTGATAAACAAAATGTTTTTTCATACAAAAACTTAATTTTCGACCGATCGTTCCTATGGCAGCTATATGATGTAGTGGTCCGATCCAGTTGGTTTTGACGTATGTGCTGCGTGCAACAGAAAGAGGGAGTTCTGCAAAGTTTCATTAAGATAGCTTTAAAACTGAGGGACTGAGGGAGATGTCTCCTTCTATGGGTTACACATTTCACGACAAAATTATAATACCCTCTGCAAGGGTATAAAAAATCAAAGTGAAGATAAACATAAAATTCTATACAACTTTTGACCATTAATTTTTTGATTTTCCAAGAACTGAAAACGAATTTTCAGTTTAATTTCCCAAAGATTCTTAAAAACGAATTTGAATCTTATTCAGTAACCGTAAAGGTGCCCAATTTATCTTACGTTTTCATCAATCAATTAGTCAATCAGTTGGTTCAACCTTTAGAAAAGCTCAGTATTAATTTCAAAATTGGTTACTTTCTCTCTAAAAAGTTGTTTTTTTGTTGAACGCTGTCTGTTTTATTTTTATCCCCGTAGCTATAAGAGAAGTCAGGGTAGGAAATCTGCATCCCTTTCGTTATACAGCCGCAGACCTGCGGTCATTTTAGCTTCAAGTATTAACAGATATGCGTTACACTGCTGATGCAGATAAGAATGGGAATTTGGAGCATAATTAACCATCAGTAAAGGTAGACAACTCGTTCCTCCTAAAGGGGATTTCAGCCTTTCTACTGTCACACAATAGTAACGTTCTGCTTCCACGACAAGGTATCTATTATGATAGGCCTTTCTTAATTAACTTACATTTCCTATCGCCTATCAAATCAATTAAAAGTAAAATGCTACTATTGGGTTTTTGATTATGGCTAGCATTTCTCTTCCAAGAGAGTTTCTAATATAATATTATTTCCAGCTACTTGGCTCTGGAATAAGGTATGTAAATCTATTATTTAGTGATTGGTAATCATTAACCTAAGGCTATGTACAATAGCAGATTTCAAGAGCTTAATAAATGAAAGGAAAAGTATTGCCTTTACCTTAACAACCAGCAAATCTGCATATGACAACCATTCTTTCCTCCATGGGAGTGCCTCTTGTGCGCACTTCCACTGCAGCGAAGCATGTTGCCATTCCACCTAGTAATTGTCAGGAGTCAGTCGACATCGGAGCGAAAGCCACCTCGAAGCAGGATTCGAATTGACTAATAGACAAAATTCTTTCTAATTTCTTCCCGTGTCCACTCTGGATGCCAGTTATCCATGTTCCGAATCCTACATCTATCTAATTTAAGATCCTGAAAGATTCTATTAACCTTCACTTTGTTGTGAAACCTGCATTTCCTCTCTAGCATGAGCATCCCTGTATGCACCACAAGCTTTATCTATCTATCAGATTAAAGCACTTTGTGTTCTGGGGATTCCGGGATACGAAGTCGCACGTTCTTGCAAAACTTCTTACAGCTAGAACTGCTTGTGTTTAAAGGGTTGAAGGGGTATATACATTTTATGCAAACGACATACATTTGGCAGAGAGAACTTCTCAAACTTCAGTATTTACATCTTTCATTAGGACTGAGGCGATCTAACTGAGTCCGTCTGCGTATTGGTATATGTGAACACGGAGATTTAAAAAGAAGCAGAACTGCTAAGATAACTGTAGAGCAAGCGTATATGTATATGTATATATGGAGTAAACTAGAATTTTGTAACAGCAGCTTTGCTGTTGGCTCAAAGTATCTTGCAGACTAGTCCTCCCTGTGGAGGCAGTTCATTTCCAACATTAATTGGTATCGCTTCTTGAGTAATTGGCCAATTTTAACATAAATCCACCCTTCCGGGTTGTTTCCACCTTGAGGTAATTCTGTCCGGCACAACTTATCGTTGGATTCAGCCTGGGCTATTCTCTAGATACTGTGGCGGCCTGTTATTTAGCCATCGGCCCTAACCATTTTCAGAATGCTTTCTCTGAATGGGTGCTTGAACGTCAGTCTTGTTAAGCCATTCATGGTGCTGCAAGTTGTTGTCGTGCCTTTCTCGAATTGCTTCTCTCTTCCTCACACGACGATAAGCGTCGGCCTTGCTTAAGGCGTATAGAATTATATCTGCCCTGTGGATCAGGCGTTCCTGTGAACAGAAAGTTGTCATTAACCTGCCCGGGGTTCATGTCCGTACTAGATGGCCCCTGATCCACCCTGTTTCATTTACCATGCGGCCTCCATTTAGATATATATTTCCGAGATATCATCCAAACTACTTATCATTCAGCTACAGGATTGTTGTCGTTGACACTGATGCCTTCCCACTTGCACCTTGCATACTGTTACTTAAATTCGTGAAATCTCGAAAAACGAACACTATGTGTATCCTAAGGATAGACCAAAAACAGTCTACACGAAGATGAGTGACGCCCATTTGAATGCAAGGTAGAATTTGTAGTGTTCTTTTTTACGAGGCTTTTCGCCCTAAAAACAATCCGATGTGGCTCGTTGAAGCTGACACGAAGAACGCACTCAGGCTGCCTTTAGCAAGGCTGGTCGATGCTCTATAATCGTTAATGCTCTATAATCGAGTGTACTCGACTTTTAAATTCAGTTAATATAATATTATGGTTTTAAGCACTACTCTTTGAATTACTTGAATCATAAAATTTAATAAATATAATTTTTAGAATATTCATGTACTCATAGATGCATAAACTTCTGTGCGGTGTATATAGTAGGGTACACAGACAGTGAAACATTCATAATAAAGGAGAGGATATTTACCAAATACCGATATAAGACTTATGCTTAATGTACAACATTCATTTCCTTTAATTGTATAGTTCGCTTTCCAATTGAATCTATAAGGTTTTACTCAGCAAGATGGGATCGACCCATTACTTAAATTGTTGCAAAATCTTTTAATTATTAATTTTAATTTAATAATTAAGAGTTAGAAATAGGTTTTCGGATGGAAACCTTTAAAAAATTGAAAAAAGTGGGGTGTGCTAACCTTCTTCAATACAATTTTTATTTGAAATATTAAAATATAGTAGAACACCCATTTTTGTTTTATTTAAATGAGAAATGAATATAGTTTCAACGACAAAAGTTTTAAAATGTTAGTTTCGGATAGGGGGTGTGTTAACCTAATGACTCGCAGTGTATATATATATATATATTTACAGAATTAACCAAAATATTCGAATACAGTATAAGTAGACGAAGTGCATTAATATTTCACTTGGAGGAAATATTCCTCATTCCCTCCTAAATATAAAAAGCGCACTTTTAAAGCTAGAAACGAGATTTGATATACACACATATTTGAATGCTATGTTAATGATATTATGAAGATGGGACAATAAACTTAAATGTTACTTCACATTTAATTTACATTTTATATTGAGCGATATTTTTTGATTTATGGAAAGCAATGCGTGCCTCAAAAACCAAATATTATATTGACTGAGGGGTAGAGGAAATTTAGTAGTCGATAACACTCGACTAAACCGTTCTTATTTGTTTATTTACAAATATAATATCTTTTAGTTATTTAATGCTTTTTAGTTCCTATTAATTATATCTCCAGAGTCAGGAAATATACATTTAAAAATATGGTTCAGTTTCTTATAAAGAACCCGTGCAGTTCGACATTAGCTTGCAACCTTTATGAAAAAGCTTGCTTACACATCATTACAAACTTTATAAGTGAATCTTAAAGCAGTTATTATTTGAAACACACAAAATATAAATTGCGCCTGTTATATTTTTGATCCCTAGAATTTTTTACTGGACATGTAGACATTATACATTTTTTTTCATTCAAAATGGAAAGTGTTGCTTTTTTAGAGCAGAGAAAGGCATGCTGTGAGACAGACAGTAAAACGCAAACTACCCTTAAGCAGTCTAGTTACATTTTTAATGCATTTTGTTAAAAGTACCTCGAAACGTCTCCCAAAACGATATTTTAGTATATAGTGGCTATTTACATTTTAACACGCATCATACAACTGCAATGTGACCCTGCAATTTAGCTCGAACTTTTGCTAATACATCTTTACATCAAAACTAATTATTAACTAAATTGCAATAACCAAACAAAATACACCATCCTTGAACTGCAACCTAAGACCCCGAAAATGAGCCCGCCGTCGTGTTCCATATAAGTATGCAACATGATGGTAAACAAGTTACAAATAGCTAATGCAAGCTTTTCTGTCTTACTTAAATCCAACTTTTCTACGCTCAACTCGCAACAACAACAATAACTAGGCGTGACAACAATGTTGAATTTCTTCACTACCTCGAATGGTTTCCGCAGCACCCTGCCCGTTGTCTCCAATCTGACGGCAATGAATGTGTGGGACGGCGTCTGCATGTGCTTCATTTACGCCTCTTTACTGGAGTTTGTTTGTGTCAATTATGTGGGACGTAAGCGTCCGCTTCACAATGTCGTCTATCGTCCGGGTGAAAATCCCGTAACACAGGTAAATTAGAATACAATATAAAACAAAGAAATGCTCATAGGTCATAAAGGGGCCTGTGGCTGATTTATTATGCATCTCAAGCAAATAAATATATATTTTACATACGCGTCTATTGAACCATTCAAAACGCACACACACGCACATACACACAAAACACTACAACACACAGCTAAATTTACTTACCTGTTTTATTTATACTTTTATTTTAAATGTATTTGGTTAAAACACAAACCCAAAAATGTTATTTTCGGATTGCCGAAGATTAAATACCCTTGCGGACAGAAATCAGACTTGCAAAATTATTCTGTACTAAGCTCGACAACTTAAATCGTCTCTAGCGATTGCTGCTATTGTAGCAAGTACGGCAAATTAAGGCTCAAAGGTCCTGAATTCAGTTTGAACATTGATAAAATCAAATTCTTATTAGAACTAATTAAGTGCTGAGCGATTGTTCGCGGTGATATAGTGGTCCGATTTAAAAGACAATTCGCAAGGATCATAGGAACGCTCGAAGTTGGAAAGATTCATTAAAATTCATTTAAAGCTGAGAAGCTGCTTTCTCAAAGCAGACAGGCTCACAAGATTTAACCGACTCTTCTGATCAAGGGAACAAATGTATGGCCGAATATGTCTCACTCGAGGCTTGACATATTTCGTGGCAAATTTATAATACCCTCTGCAAGGGTATAACAAATTTAAAGCACTAGTAAACAATAATCATACAGAAACAAAAAAGTTTAGTCACTGTATTGTTTCTGTCTATCTCTCAAGCCTAACTATATATGTATGTTTCTCCCCAAATCTTCAAGTTCTCTATCCCTTTTATCTCTACTCTTCACAAGTCTTATTTTAAATTTATTTCAATGTGCTAACTATAAACATTCCTTATATAAATGCTCGCACACCTTGTGTTAATGCTCCGCATACCCCACAGTTAACCATTCCCAATTAGCATTTTGAATTGAACTTCTGTGTCCTAAACAAAAACAAAACAAATTATCCTTAAGTTACCAAAAGTTTATTCTTTATTTGTACTCAATAATTGTTTATAAGTATTATAAAATAATAAATACATATGTATAAATATTTATATGTATTTATATATATTTGTACGTGATGGTCGAAAACAACTCACTCTACTTATTTTGAATGTGTTTCTCACTGTACTTAAGCAAACCCGATTTTAATTATTTTTTCGGAGTATGCCGATATTCTCCTGAATGTTTTACGTTGAGCGAAAAAATTACCCTTCACCGAACACACTTTGAACGTTTACATATACTATTCAAAGTGTCTTTGTATGATTGTTTTAGTATAACAGAAAAAAAGTTTCAGTTGATTATGTTGTGTATGTTATGTTATTGTTGTGTATGTTTGTTGCTTGCCATTTAATTATAAAATATCAATAAATAATATATATCAAATAATTATTTTAGCAGAGCACAAGCACACAAAGCATTTAATAAAACTTGTTCTATCACTGAAAGAATCTTACTTATTCTCTCAAAAATAAATCGCCACAAGAGGGAAACATAATTAACACGGAAAACTATTTCCCACAGCAGTGTCACAAAAACGAAGTTTTATTTTGCTTACCTCTCAACTTCTAACATTCATTTAGAACACTTCAAAGTTGAGTGAGTTATTTTCGACCACTGTTTGTATGTTTGTGGCGATGCTCAGCTATTTATTTAGCTATTTATTCAGCTATTATTTATATATAAAGGTATAAAGAGTGAGTCCCTTCTTACTGCTCCAAAAAAAGAGACGTGCTGTTAATTTGATTTGTCCCAAGCAATTTAATATTCTCATTCCTTTTTGTAAATGTTGTATAGTAACAATGTTTCTTATGCGTCTACAAATATTTCAAATTTATTAAACAAATAGTAATAAGATTTTAATTATGGCAGTAGGTCTACTTATTTATTTACATTATTAGGTATGTGAATTAATTTAAATAATATATAATTGAAGTGTGCATGTTAAGCATTTCGTTGAGGCTGTGTAGGGAAATGAAAACAAATTGAACATGAATGGTAAAACTAAAGACAATATAGAACACTGTGCTTATATTGGCTATAGGAACCCAATGTCGGAGCCAATCAAAAATCGATAAGGCTAAACCTCACTATTGTGGTAGATTGGGGCCCCAAACATAGACAATTACACTACCTAACATTCAATTTGTATAAGTTATCAAGTTTACTTTTCAATATGCATATGGGGTTCCATATATCAAAAAATCACTTTTCAATCTGGTATTTTCTTCATGTTTTTTACTCAGTAGCCAGTTTTAATGATCTTCATACACATTTAAAATTTAAATCATTTGTTGTGCGGAATGTTTTTCGATTTTGTTAGCTTTAAAATTTGGAGAAAGCTCGAAAAAAAAAGTTGTATAATTTTTTCACTCCATACAGAAGTAATGGTTTTAATTGGGCGGACTTTTTGGTCACCCTTTCAACTCGATGAAGGATGGTATTTTTATTTCCGATGATGTTATTATTACTTTTTTGAGCGCTTGGAAAACCGCACGGGGCTTGGAAGTTTTTTGTTGACACCAGAAGGATTATTTGAAGCCAGGATGTAAGCCGTCTTACTCTATAATGAAAAAAGAATTAGACACCCTTAAACCCTGTTCAAAGTGCACGCAACGAACTTGGACTATTAAGAACTTTGTAAAGCTCTAGATACGAAAGGTGAAGAACAAGTGTTTTGAAAAAACAGTCTTCACACTTCCCTCAATGCAAAAATTAAACAGGCAAATGAACAATTTTACTTAATTTTTACATCTGTAACTGCACAGCTCTTGAGTGCGGAATATTTTGGAGTCTTACAAAAAATTTTATTTAAATAATTGGAGCAATCGTGTCACTGACATTTGCTCAGCAAAGAACTGTATTTTATCAATAATTTAATTCTAAGGAAGAAAGCTTTCAGGGTTTGTGAAATCAGAAAATGACGGGCAATTACGAGTGAGGTCTCACACGAGAATCTGATTCTTATACCCTAAACAAGAAGACTTCGATCTACTTCTGCTAATTTTGATATACGTATACCGAAGACCGCTGAACCTTCTGACTCTAACTTCTTACAAGGTCTGCTGATGATCAAACCGGGAGTTTCTTGAAGTAACTATACAGAAAACTTGTGGGTGTTTGTCGTTTGACCAATGTTAAGCTCAAAGAGTCCAGCTTAAAATCTTTGTATATGGTTTTAAAAGCAAACAGCCACAAAAATTAATTCGAGCGACATTCTGTAACTTTAATTATTTTTGAAATTTTATTAACTCGTAGAGAGCTTCGCATAGAAAATCATTTATATCGACGAAAATGTATCTAAATTTTGTCAATTCGACATCTTTATCAATCGACTTCGAGAGAATTTAAAATTTGACATCAGTTTGGCTTGCTAAAATGGTGATATATTATGAATATGCAGAAGTGAAACAAAATATACAATTTTTTTCTAATTTTCTCCAATTGTTAAAAAATAAAATCCGTTTAAAAAAACCGCACAAAAATCATCATTTAATTGATTCAGAATTAGTAGTTACAAAACTATATCTATAGCTAAAAATGTGTATGAATATTATTAATTTATATACTTGCTTGCAGGCAGCCTTATTAAAATCGTCTAAATGATTTTTGTGTCTGCAAAAAAAATGTTAGAAATACAAATTTTTTGTAAAAATATCAGTATATGCAATTTTTTAAGTAATATATACTCTTCTGAGGTACGCCATAAAGGTGGCTTGCTAACTTACACAACAATTTTTTTATTTTAATTTTTTAGTAGAATTGGTTTTTTCTATGATAAGAATTTAACAATTTTTAAGGTTTAGACTTTGCTTTTTAGCAATTTTTTAATGCGAGCGAAAATCTGAACCGACTTTAACCATCTCAACATTTATGAAAAACCAATTTAACGATCTAATAATAAATCATATATTTTGTAAGTGTATCTTAGCTATGGTTGAAGATTTATTGATCTGATATCACAGAGATATTCTTTAACTCCATTTTTGTAATTTACAGTAAAATCAAATAAAAAATCAAAATAGCCGTACTAATAATATATAAGTTATATATATATGTATTGCTTCCATAAGAACGATTCTTCAAAAATTGAGTTCTTTAATGAAAAATTGATTTTTGAAATGTAAGCCTTAAAAAATATAGCTTATTTTTTCGATCTAAGATTTAATATCTTGGCAATGGGAATTTTAATCAGTATTTTTAAAGTAAAAATTTCAGCATAAATTTATTTAAAACGATAACTTTTCTTGTAATAACAAATTAAATAAATCTTCGACCATAGTTCAAAAATACAAATTATATATTTTTTATTTGTAAGCCGTTCAATTACATTTTCATATATATTAAAATAATTATTTTCGCTTTAAGAGGGCTCCAATCTACCAAAAACTTGGACCTTACACCAGAATCTGTTTCATAGTTTAATTTTGGCATAATACTTAGATGATCAAAGGCTTATCAACGACACAAACTAATTAGCTGGACGAAATGTTCCAACTAAGAAAACTTACAGCCCTAATGAATTCAGTACATGTATAACTGTAATAGCAAGAAATATTTCTAACAAAAACATATGTACTGTAAAATCTCCGATTACGCACAGAGCTCATAACTAAACAAAAACAGTGCGGCTGTGGGTGTTCGCCTATGGGAGGTGTTACTGTATTGACAAAACATAAATATGCTATGTTTCCAGCGTTGAAACTTTACAAAAATAATTTCTGTTAAGACTTTGCATATAAAACAATAATGCATTTGATTTTGTAAATACCAGGGAATGGCAAATATGATGTATATATATTCATATCATTTATAATCTGCCGATCAGACTTGTCCCGAACTTTTATTCATACATATATACATTCACAACGAGGAGGCCAATTTTCAAAATTGCTGGTGGAATTTTTGCAGGCCCCGCCTTAGAGCGAACGTGCATCGCATAAGGTAAAGATTTGGGCTCCTTGGCTTTTACAGCTTGAGATCAAAATGGATCACCAGCTAGGATTAGCATAACTGCACTTCCTTCGCTCGCATTCTGTACTTATTGCCCAATCATAAGAAAAAACTATACGTTTTCATACTTTTCGACCGCTTTTCATGAAGTTTCCCAATACGTATAAATAAAAGCTATATGTCACTTAAATGTTTTTTAAGGTATAAGAATTTTGATTTGTAGATTACGTATAGTTTAAATATATATAAAAAAGTATGTTTAAGATATGTTTAGCCCAAATAAAAATCAAACATTGTTCCCAATTTTTGTGATGTTTAAGATTATATTTATTTGAGACAAGAACTTGAGCATAAGCAAAACGAATATCTCACATAACAGCAACTAAGCTATGCAAAAATGACGCAGAATCAAAGCAATCCTAACTAAAATCGACAACTTCAATCAAACTTAAAGTGTGTTTTGAGTATGAACATTATTTTGTGTACATTTTTACAGCGTCTTCCAGCGGTACTAAGCAGGATCGGAGTAATTCTTGCAAGTCCTTTGGTAAGCTATTAACCACAAATCATGCACCTTCCCTTTTCTTGTCAAGAAATGAGACAAACACCAACAATAACAACATAGCATTAACATTATAATGGAACACAAACTCATCCAAAATCGCGCTTCTCACCGCTCACACAAAACCGACATCATTAAGTGAGTCACACAAAATCTAACAAATGGCATGTGAATTTTGCTTTTAAACTTAACAGCATTAAAGAATTGTTTTATTTTCATTTACTTATTTAAATATTGTTTTTTGGTTAACTAAATTTTTTGGTGTTGAATATGTTTGGGTTTTTATTCATTGAATAGATTTTAAAAGAAATATAGGGATGTATTATATATTTCATATAACATAATATAGAAGCATGCTTTAAAAGTTTAGTTCATTTTACTTACTTTTTACTTACTTTTTACTTACTTTTTGTTTTTAGTTTCATATTAATCAGAGTCCCGATGTTTTCTTGAATTCTATTCTTGTTTTTACCATGATAAAACTCTCAATATACTCGTAATAAAACACTCGGCAGCCCAAACAATTATAACAAAACTGTGAATAAATAATAATTAATAAAACCATATGAACAACTCTGACCATATGACAATATAACAATAATAAGGAACCATATTCTTCAACTTCAACAACAACATTAATTGCGTAAATAAAAATAATATACAAAAAATAAAACACACTTTAAGATCACATACAATTGGGAAAAATGTTAAAAGCAAATCTCGAAAAATGTGAGCATATGAAAATATGTTCGTTTTTATATGGTACTAATTTAAATGAAACAGAAATGAGCAATAAATTATTATATAATTTTATTTAATTATTTATTAAGAGTATTTATGTTATGATATTTGTCCTGTTTTTTGTGTCTTTTTGAGTTACTGACAACAAACACTCCATATACAATAACTAAAAGATGCTTTATCGTTTTTAAAAATTCAAAAATATTTGAAAAATTAACCATATTCCGAATTTGTAAATTGTGTTTTGAAGGTATGTAGAAGCAACCGAATAATGCCGGTTTTTCATTTTCGATTTTCTGTTGCTGTATGTTTAAGAGCTTTTTTAGGTAATTTATCTGGTCATACCTTTATTTAAGACTAACTTATTATATTCCTCGTAGCATATGAGTGCAATAACCCAACACAATACAAGTACAAATAAATATATATTATACTCTTAATGGTAATTGTATTTGGTGAATGTTAAGTTACCTTTTCCAGTCTTCTTTGAATTAATGTTAAATTTATTATGTGTTTCACTATACTTGTCATAGTATTTAATTGCAAAATAACCCAACACCTTAGAAATATCCATAACAGTATTTGTTTTCCTGTCAATGCTTAGTTCACATACTTAATAAACACGTCCTATTATAATTTTGCTTGCGAGTAAACCTTATGTATAAGCTAACGGTTCGAGTATTACTTGTATTGTAAAATAACTGGTGAAACAGAAAATTGAAATGAGGGTATTAAGTAGGTATCGCAAAATAGTCATTAGACTATGACTATAAAACTATATTTTACATGTGAAAAGTGAACCTTAACCTTTGATATGTTTATTGAAATTCTCCTCGCAATCTTATGAATTTATTATAAAAGATTTCCATTTGATTTAAGGTTTCCGTGTTTTTATTAGTCTTCTAGTTTTTGAAAGTAGTATTAGTTATAGCTTAAACAAAAATATATAAGCATTCATTACAATGTTATTTTATTTAAACAAAAAGGCAATGTGAATTTTAGTAAATTTCTTACAATAACCCTATTGGTATATTTAAATGAATCGTACTGTTGGGCTGCTTAGCAAGTATATATTCTCCGCAAATCCTCCATAGGTATTAGAGAACAAGTTAAAATTAACCTCTTAAGCAATGTTATGTTCTGGAACTAGAAAACCCCCAGCGCATGTCTAACCTACTCATTGTATATTACAATATCCTTTCCTGCAAAAGGAATCAATTTAGCGAATTGTACAGTTTTCTTTAAAACAAAGCGCAACCCACAATAACTGTCAAGTCAGCCTGGTGTTCCTCATTCCACGCAATACTTGTGATGGTCACCAATACATCCCTGTTAACATATTTCGCATCTAAGCCCTATTTGGTTTTTCGTTCCATTAGCGATCTTAGTGTTGCTCTGTTCGATTTGTAAGATTTTTTATATAAGACCCAGATTGAAAATGTCCAGAGCAGCTGATTGCCCAAAATGGATGCTTAGTTTTAAAGCAGGTCATCATATCGTGAATTGGCTGCTGCCGTTTTGTGCGATTTTTATGGAAATTATTGATCCGGTTCGCTTGTTTAGCTCTGACTATTGTGGTTACTTTTAAAAGATTCCTTTAGATTTTAGATGTCATCAAATCAGCAATTATGCACATCTTACGCCGTCTCTTCATTTACCGCCTTGTTCTTAGTCTTCTCAGCTCTTCAAGGAACTTCGAACAAACATTAAATTATATTTTGCCCTTGACGAGCGTTTTTAATTTTGTAACAAAATGTGCTTTGAAAAAAAATATTCTCGGAAACCCACTGTAATAATTATAAGTCCCTCACGTTTCCGTTTCCTTCCTGATAAGCGTTTAAGGACTTTTATAGATATGCAAAGGTATATAAATAGTATAAAGTAGTGACAAGACAAATAAATTGCAAATTGAGTTGCCAGAAGTAGCGATTACCTAGATTACCTATTCTTTCGACTACTAACTGCCATTGTTAAATGCGCTTTTACCTTACAATTCCCAAAAAGTGATTTGCGATCTGAAAGCTCAGCAATTATGGAACAGCAGGAGGACCCTGCATGTTCAACTAATCCAACTAACTCAAGAAACAACTATGCAGCAATCAAGTCCTAACTAAAAACAATCTCCAACTCTCTCTCCAATCGCAACATCAATGTTTCCTCTTTCAATGTGCTCGTGCAACATGCAAAACCAAAACCAAATAAGTACAAAACTATTGCACCCAACTGTCCCATCCACCAATACAAGATAGGAAATAATCGAACAAGAATTTCACGCTGCTTTGTCGTCTCCCAACGAAAAGGCGAGCACCATCACCACACCGGACATGGCCGGTACGCCGCTCCCAAAGAACTTAGCCGCGCCCGAATCCTCACCGGGCACACAAAAGCCTGCGGAGAACGAATTTGTTGGCGGCATGCGGTGGCAAGAGGCACATGGTGGCATCATTGGTGCAGCAGTCCAAAATTTGCGAGCACGTTCCATTAAACGTAAAAGCGGCCACGACGCCACAAGAAGCGCGTCATCAAAGTCCACATCGCCAGGTCTAAAGTCCACCTCATTGGCTACCGAGCATATTTATGAAGAGCCTGAGCCGGGTAGAAATGTGGCTTCGACAAGTGTTAGATTTGAAGATGTACAGCAAAAGGAAAGCTCTCCCACGCTGCGCCGCTCTGTTGGCACTAGCACGCCAGCGCTGGTGGTGCGCATCGAACAAGAAAAGGAAGAACAAGAAGGAGGTGTGAAGGAACAGTTGGAGCTGCAACCATTGTCATTTATCGAAATGGCTGAGCGCCAGCATCAATTAGAACTACCTTTAAAACCGCCACGCAGAAAATCTTCGCGTTCAAATTCACCAAGCAGCGCCTACGCGGCGGATATGGAAGCAAGAATAATAATCGGGACAAGGACATCCGCGGCAGATGTTAAAAATGTGAGTAATTGCCCGTCGAAAAGCCGAAAAAACCGAAGTGACTAACACAACTTTATTCAGTTATTGTTAACCGATTACTCTTAACCCAAGCCATAACAACGTGAACCCAAAACGAATTACATAAATTCTTGCCAATTTATATATGTAACATTCACATATTCATGAAGAAAATCTCACGCACACGCCGTAAGCTGTGACCCTTACGCAGCGCCTGTGCTACGTCGTTCTCCGCTCTATACATATTCGAAAGGGATGCCTAGTACGCTACTCTGAATTGCCGTAGAATACATCCGTCGTGTGTCTTCGAATAGAAGAGACCCTGAACCCTAATCTTCCACAACTAGTTGCTAAAAGTTTATCTAAGAAATACACTTTTACCAACTTAAAATGTTAAAGGTTGTTAAAACTAAAAAATTAAAAACAAAAATCCACATTGCTGGTTTCATTGTGGATTTTTGTGGTTTCTAAGTCAATGCAGGGAGCAATCAAAACGTGGTCCTCCAGTTTAGAGTACCCGACTACACTATGGAAAATATACAAAATGGAAAATTTAATGTTTGCTCTTCTTCATAAGATAGTTGACAGACATTAACGCCTAATCGATCGGCTCCAAACTTATTTTTAAGTCCCACCCGCAACTGTGAAAATTTGACGGAAATCTGTTTTATGCTTATCGGCTTCAAACTAATTTTCAAAGAACTTTGCTCAATTCATGTGATACGTATTTCACACATTTCGAAATTCCTGCCGCTTAAGTTAATTATTGTGCCTTTAAAATTTAATAAGGAACTCATCGTTTCCTCGGCTTCCTAGCTCTTACGGTTTGGGCTGTGCGTTGACCACCAATTCGTCAGTCAGGACAAACAATTTTATACATAAAGATAAGATAAGAAATGGGGGAACTTTTTAGCCTGCCCGGCATACCATATTATAAAGTAATAATAACGTGCTTCTGATATATTGATTGATCGTTTCCTACTTAGCGTTGTACATTTAATAAATACATATAACGCCAGTGCTTAACTTTTTAAAAATGTATGTACAAAGAGCAGTGCTCTTTTTATACCCTGAACCCATTGAAAATGGGCATGTAACGTGCAGAAGGAAGCATCTCCGACCCCATAAAGTATATATATTCTTGATCAGCATCAATAGCCGAGTCAATTTAGCCATGTGCGTCTGTCTGTCTGTCCGTATGTATGAATGCAAGGATGTCAGAACCTATAAGAGCTAGAGACTTGAAATTTTAGATGTAGGTCCTTCTAGTGCCTGCGCAGATCGAGTTTGTTTCCGATGATCGATAACTTACTCCGTTTCCAATAAGATATTATGTAGAAAATTTCATTAAGATCGGTTAAGAAACACGTGCTTGCGGCAGCTAGCGCAAATTCCTAGAATTTCTGTATACTTGTACACACATACATTCATGCGCGTCTGCTTCGAATTCTATCAACAGCATTGCAATTGCGATTGGTTTGTTTTTTCTCATTATGACTTAATGATTGTTGTGGCTGTTGAGTAGAGGCGGTGGCATGTGTTGTGGTTTGTCGCAAGTGCGAACCCTACCGGGGAAACTATTTTGCCGACTAGAACCTCGTACTTATTTTTTTTTTTATTAGGGTAATAATGGGATGTAAAATTCAATATTCATAATCTGTACATAATTTACTAGTACTTACACATTATTTAAATGCTTTAAAACCCATGTCTCAAAATAGAGAGGATTAATTAACTCGTTCTGTGAACGGTATACGAGAATATATAATAAATTCTCATTAAAGTATAAAGATGCTGCAAACACAGAATATGAACCAAATGAATGAAAGAAAAGCATTCGGTTACTTGAACAAGGCAAAAGACGAGTCAGTAGCCTAGCCACACGAGACAAAGGCAAAGTCTGACAGTCTTGTTGGGAACGTTAAGTAGTCCACAACAAATAAATCCACCGATTGCAAAGTCTAGTCAACAGTCGTACACAAGAATACACCTAGTTCTGTTTTTACACGGTAGATTGATTCCAGAAATGGTTCCATGTAAAAAAAATCGTCGTCGTTGATCGTATGCTCTAAAACCTATTAAAATAAGTAAAAGACACAGTTTCTTAAAGAACAAGTATTCTTGTTTATTTTATTAAATCACATACATAATGTGTATTTACACAGGCATAGTCATTAAAGAAAAAAAGATTTGTAGTCTAAGCTTGAAGGTAATATAAAATAAATGTAAAGCAGCTGGTATGTTGTTAGCAAAAAGAATAGGTCATTCAATTTTTAAAGTAAAAATAATTTAAAAAAACATATAAAACTCAATGAATATAAATGTTCATCAAAGATACTGCGCAGTACCAGGAGTACTAAAGTATCAGGCCTATCCTCCGAGCTGTACTTTGAGTATCTGAAGAAATGGATTTGTTGAGTCTAAAAGCATTATTCATTTACTCCCGAAATTTTGTTTGATGTGAAGACTTAAAAATAGTAATGCTGGATATTATACCTCACAATTATACAGCGAGGTTAGTTAGCAATCGGTATCACGGGTACATTCAATTGAAATTGTATAGAAGAAGAGATTTGGTAGTGAGCGTATGTTCTGCAAACAAGTTAAGATGTGCCTTACAATTTATTAAAAGCCGTTTTAGTGACATTAAGTTTCTACGGCTGTTTCATTTAATTGCAAATAAACGCTAGTTCAAACCGAATTAAAAAGGTTTTTAAGTAGTTAGATAAAAAATTATTCAACAGTCTGATAAAACCGAATGCTCAAAACTCTGTTCATTATTTAGTATTAGATCAAAAGAGATGAAAATGTTCCTTCTTGCTATAAAATGTTAATGCTGATTAAAAAGTTAAAAGGAAAATGCAGACTTCTAGCTATTTCAGTCTGTTTGGGGATCACCCGTAAGATAGCCGGGTAGACAACCGTTGCGATAAAAATAAATATACAGATTGCGGGCTGGTTATCTCTCGTTTTGCAAATGCATTTTGCACAGGGCCAGAATTCCCTCTTTTACCGATTTCACGTGGATACAGGGTATAAAAAGTAGAAGCTTTTTACTCAACCCTTTCTTTGCGCACGCGCTTTATATATGTAATTTTTGAGCACGTTTAAAATATTAATTTCCGTTGCTTAAATTACTTAAAACTTCGCACCTCCTACTTACAATAACGATATTCAATGATGTTAAGCTTTGATCATTTCTAAAAATAATTATTCATACCATACGCCTTTTCACTCATTTACTGCATAAATCCTAAACCAAATTCTCATCAACAACAAAAAATATTATTTAAAAAAAATATATTCTTCGGTGTGCCGAAGGTTAAATACCCTTGCAGTATTGGAGTCTATCACTAGCCACACAACGCTGCTTAAATAAGAAATGCACTTATGTTCCAATCAGAATATACATTGTAGGCAGTCTGATTTAAATACATTTTGATTTGATAGGACCAATTCACAGAGTCCAATAATCAAAGCCCATATTGCTACTTAATGTATCTTAACCAAATACCCGACACGATAATTATAATACCATCTGCAAGGGTAACAGCTATAACACATAATGGTACAAATAAAAATGTTAGGCAAATAAAACATTTAATGCTCAATTTTCCTAATTTTTAAATGCTGCGTTCAAAAAAATTCGTACAACTGCGACAGCCCGTAAGTATGCAGAAAAAATTTGCTGTATTCCTTTTCAAATTGCAGTTAAAATTATTTTAGAGCAGCACATTTAGGGTAATGGGCATAATTCTTCCTTCCTCAGCCTAGCAATATTGAACATTCATGGCTAAATACTACCAAAATCCGAGAGAATCTAGCCATGATGGTCTGTGTATCCATCAATTCAGGGCTTAAATATGGTACACAAGAGAGAGTTATATTTTTCAATTTTGTGTAAAAAGCGGAGTTATTTTAAGGAATTTATACCAAGATTGGTGTAACTTTGTCTCAAAATCAATACGACAGTATACACTTCAAATTTTAATTCCTTAGTTTTCGAGATCAGTGCGTTCACGCAGCATCTGTCTGACAGACAGACAGGCAATAGAACAGACGGGCTTGGCTGGATCGAATCAGCTCGTCGTTTGCACAAAAACTATCTCTTATTCAAATACTTTATTCAAAAATTCCAAAAATATGAGATGATGATAAATATACACACTTTAAGTGACTATAACCTTTTGGAACTCATAATACATATTACACCCAATAAAGCTGGCCATATCTTGTATGCAAGGTATAAATGACAAGGGCAACAATTTCAATAACTACTAACTACAATAACTACTTTATTTGGTAGCCTTTTAGAAATTGTACTCTTAATCGTACATGTAATATTTTACCCAGTTTGTTTACCCTATATACCGATCCCTACGCAATGTATTCGCATCGCATATAATCAAAAACATAAAACTTGAACCGTTAAAAAGGCTATAGTTCTATTTGTTTGTGATGAAAATTCATTTGAAGTGCTTTGAAGTGTTATATTCCTTTGCGAGTGATCAATAATTAATCGCTTTAATTTTTTAAATGCTTTAGGGCGAAAAGCGACGTGACGCCGGAGCAGCAAATGAGATTGTGGCATGCACCACATGCGGAAGCAGCAATAGCCCATGCACCCACTCCGCTAATAATGGATGTGCCACGGAGGTGAGATATGAGCAATATAAAGAGCCACTGACTATATATTTTAATTACGCATTTCCAGACCTGCTTTGTTCAGATGCGCAAGAAAGAACCACCGCATCCGATACGTGTGGCGAAGACGATTGATGTCATTGCGAGAATAACATTTCCAACAGCTTATGCCATATTTCTCATATTTTTCTTTGTACACTATAAGGGATTTTCATAAAATTAAGCTAAAAGTAACATCTATTAACTTGCGCTTAAGGAAACAGCATAAAAACAGCATAAAATTATTTGATAATCTAAAAATGTGGAAATACATCATAAAAGTCAAAATTTCAAAGTTATAAAGGTCTTGCAAAGCCATTTAACTTATATTTATTAAAAAAAAAAACAACACAAACTAATTTCTTTAAAAATTAACAAATAAGTTAAAGCATATAAAAAGCATCTAGTAAAAAAACCAAAGCAAAACAAAGAACAAGTGATAAACAACGCTAATCGTCAATATAAACAACAAGAACAACCCTAGTTAAAAACATAAAATTTTTTATTAAAATAAATATACAAACGAAATGTTTATTATTAATATAATATAATATTATTTATACGACATTAAAAATAAACAAACAAATCAGTAGCAGTCGGGTGCAACCGACTGCTCAATACTCTGTTCACAGTGTAATTATAGCTAAATTAGACAAACAAAACCCTTGGTTAAGTTGTTGGCTCTAAGAATGTAATTCTAAAACAGTGACTTTCAAACTGTGACTGCGAAATGTCGATCATTGCATTTGTTAGTCGGGGAGTGGGCGGAGCAGGAATATTGCCTACTCAATCTTTAAGCCTTTGGGATTTAGAGAGTATCTGCCTGCAATATTTCTGACTCAAGCTTTCAAATTGTATGAGGTTCAGATTTCGCAGTTTGCCCGCCACCTAGTTTGCGTGGCCAGAAGTCTTAGCACATAATCTGGCACGGATCTACACGGGATACGAATATATATATTTCATGTTTGATGTCTATGATAGGGTAACAAAGGTTGCATTCATTCTGACAAACGAACGGGAAGCAAGACAATGCACAAAGCCAATATACTCATTTTCAATTTGTGAACAGAGTAAAATTATTACGTATTGATATTCGACTGCTTGTTTAAAAACTGTGGACAAGAAACTTGCTTAAAATCAAATGTTTGGCAAGATGGAATATATAATTATTTTCATAAATAATATTTAAACCGATATTTTAAGAACTTATGCTGAAAGTATGTACCAAAAAGAAACGCCGTCTAAAATAAAAGACCTTAGCATAAAAAGCAAACAAAAATCAGCTTTAAAGTTATAAGTATCTAACCGTAGTTGAAAAGAAAAACAATAAAAAAGGTGATCCAGGCTATCAAAAAAAAACAATGAATGAAGAATAAACCTTGCAAAAAAGACGTATTTATACATATGAAGATCTTATACAAATATGCATATGTTATTTACAACATTTCTAGTCAAATATTTTGCCTGAAAATAAATTTTGTTCAGTTACTTTATTTAATTTAAAGCCTTCAAATATGTCAAGATATTAATCTACACATTTTGAGTTTCTCGAAATTATATATTTGTGTATGTATAGAAATATAGTTATATTTGTACGCTCTGTTTCTATTTTATTTTTTTCTTAAAATAAATGTTTTGTTCTTTTCAGTGCATTAATTGCTGCCAACGCTAGTTTTTATACTCTGTACCCATCAAGAGTGGGTCAAAAAGGGATAAAGAAATCTCCTCATATAAACATATATGTTAGATCAAAAAGTTGAGATTAGTCGTTATAGCCATGTCCACCTGTCAGTCTGTATAAACTCGTTTTTCTCGAAAAGAGCTAAGGGTCAAAAATAATGAATCTTTTTTTTACCTACAAATCAATTAATATCAATTTAGAACTCTACTTTCTTGAATAGATGTGACTATAAGATTTGAAGCTTATCGCACATATTAACATTTTTTAATGCCTCCCAATATTCAAAATGAATGTCCTCTGTTATCAGGATTTGAGGATCTTTTCTCTAAGCCACGGAGTTCAGTGAAGATTAAGCGTAAACACGCAATATGTGTTTTTGTGGGAAATGTAATACATGTAAGTAAGTACAAATGTAAGAGGTGGGTACAGGGTATCTACTAGTCGACCACGCTCGACTAGAGCACTAATATTTTCTTATGTCTTTTCTATTACCTTAATGAAGGAAGCCAGCAATTAAGCAGGCGTTTCATAATATGTTAATCATCTTCAATAATTTATGAATTAGTACTTGAATAATGTCGTATATGTCTAATAATTGCACTCAACTAAACCACACAAGAAAGGAATTGGATTCAACAATATAATTAAAAACATATCAAAGCAAATAAAACAGCATGAAAGCATAAAATAAAATATATTAAATATAACAAAATAAGTTTAACAAAAATAAGTTTAAACAAATAAAAAATGTAGAAGCTATGTTAACTCAATTATAAACAACTCGCCCAGGTATTTTAGATACAATTTACCTTAAAAGCAAATAATGCCTCACAACATTTGCATATAGAAGACCAAAACTACACAACAAACGAAAAGTATTTAAAAATAAAAACAATATACTTAAATTAAAACATTTTAGCTAAACTAATTCAATCCTTAAAGCCTTGTGATAAACTTAACAAAAATTTAAAAATAAAACCTTTGCATAAATATTTATTCAAGTTAATTAATTAATTGAGCAGGTTATGAGGGCCACCGTTACCAATTATTTTAAAATGCATATTAATTATATACACGAATGCGCAAACACCGCTTTTTAGAATTTGTATATTCTTAGAATCGTAGATTTTTGAATTATATATATTTAATTTTGCAAAACTTAAGGCTATCAATGTTCTGAATTTCACTTTTATAGCATTTCCACACAATAATATATAAGATATTACACATTTTTTACGAGTAATGCAAATATAAATAAGAATCCAAGCTGTGGTACCAGAAAGGCCCACTTTTTATGTAAAATACACATTAAAATTCTGTCGAACACATTTTATGGCCTTTATCCATTAAAACGGGTATTTTGGCTGTCTGCAAACGTATGTGACAACAAAAGCTGGAGATTTAAATTGGAAATATAATATAATAACTGAAGATTATATAAGTTATGTAGATTCTTATATACACAGATGCCGAATATTTCACTTTTTCAATTTCCACTAAATTTAAAAAAAAATCTTTTTGTTTTGATTATATTTAGGCCCGAAGAAGTATCAGACTATATGCACTGTACTACATGTACTGCGTAAAGTGCGCAGCGTATAAAAAAATAAGAATGCGTATCCCCAAGGCGGAAAATAGCGAGGTAGAGCACTCTAACTTGTTTTTAAATATCGGTTCTTATACTCAGTTTGCATTGAAAAAGTGGCCTATAGATTTTTTACGTCAGTCTTGTTGCAATTTCATATTTCAAAATAAACGCAATATTTGGGTTTTTTCATATATACATATATATGTGTGTGTTTTTGCAAGCAACCCGCCAAAAACTGTGTACCCCACAGCTTTAAAATAGAGTCAACAGCCAAAAACCGCCAAGCCCACCTCCGATGTCCTTATAATCTTTTGCTTAACCTATTGCATAGCTCATACAGCCAGTGTACACATGTATCCAAAAACTTTCTGGAATGTCTTTTAAAAAAGAGTTTGTAAGTGGACGTATGAAAAGCAATAAAGTTTTTACAACCGCTGTCTACAAGTTTTTTACGATTGAGGGAAGAACTCCTTAGAAAAGATAACATTTCATTATTTATCTAGCGGTCTGGGCTGATCATCAGTCAGCCAATCAATCAGTTAAGACAATCAGATCTATATACAGAAACGCCGGGAGAAATTTTTTTAAATATTTTTAAAATATACTAACATTTATAAATTGTTTTTATTTTCCTTCAATGGATGTGGCCAGCCAAATCAAATATTTCCTTCAAAGTAGGCATGAGCATGTTTTTATACCCTGGCAGAAACATACTTATCGAGGGCATATTAAACCTGAAAATAAGGATATTTTCGGTGCGCCGGGGATTAAATACATTTGTAGAAATTTCTTTTATGGCTTTGAAGATATGTAAGAATAGCTAAGCTTGCAAATGAGTTCGATGAAAAAAATTAACAGAAAATTTGCCGTATAACAACTAAGTTTGCTATATAACATAGAAGTGCGATATTAATAAGATTGCATATATGTAGGAAGCATAGTAAAACTAATGAATGGTCAGGATATTTAGAAGATTTTTTTATAAGTACCTGCTTTTCGACCGATTGTTCCTAAGTCAACTATTATATAGCGTAGTGGTCCAATCCGACTAGTTCCCACGTATGAACTGCCCCCTATGGCAACTCGGCTGCTGAGGCTGAGCTAAAATATATAAAATCTATGGGGTTCGGAGATGCTTGATTCTATGCATATAAAAACTGTATAAATAAAGGTTCACAGATATGTGAGAATAATTGGGAGCTTCAATAGCATATTGAAAATATAACATCTAGCGATACAAAATTTAATTATTCGGCCGATTCTTCCTATAGAGCTACACAATATGCAGGCTTATTTATGCTGGCTTATATAACAAATAGCGGATTTGGTCAACACATCTCGAAAAACAAAAAAAAAGTTCTTCATTCAAAAACATACTTTTCGACCGATTTATCCTATAGCAGCTATATAATATAGTAATCCGATGTTGTTAATATTTTGACAATATATAGGGGGAATATAATATATGCCAAGTTTGACACAGTTTAGTTTTCGACCAACATTCCTGACAGCTATATGATATAGTAGTCAGTCTCAACGTTTCGTATCAGGAATATATATGCAATATGGGTCGGACCGGTCTCTTATTATGCATTAAAAACTGCATGGCAAAAAATGAATACACTCTACAAGGTTATTGAGATCATAATACAACTTTCAAGAGTGCTGTAATCGAGGATCCACCGCTTAGATACCCTATACCCAGCATCGATTATACTTTACGCTCTTTACGCAGCGGTTGTGCTTCTTAAACTTATTCACACACCAGTGGTAATTCTAGATAGTTATGATATTTGTTATTTATTAATTATATAAAAATGCTTTATTAAATTTTTTCGATTTATACTTATAAATCATTAATTGATCTTAAGAAAATGCAGTTATCGATAAAAAACAATAAAATAAAACTGTTCTGCACATGTTACATGAAAACATATATTTTATATTTTAAATACCGAAAACCGACAGACGGACTGGCGGGCGGAGTGTGACTTGCCTCTGTGAAGGCATATTGAAAATATAACCTGCCTGTTACATATATTTGCACAAAACCATTATACCCTTTTTAACCCGTTCTCAATAGGTACAGGGTATAGCAAATAAAAAAGCTGCCAATTATTTTTATAGTTTATCGATTTCAAGGACGTAGGGGAATAATTTGAATGTAAATTGTACTGCATATGCTTAGGTATATTTGAAACTAATTGTGATGAGCAATGCAGAGCTAGCTTCGCAGTCTGGCAACATCTACATTGCAT